CAGTGGGTTTTTTTTTTTTTTTTCCCAGCAGTTCTCCTTGCCTCTGGCTCTTATAAACTTTTCTCCACCTCTTCCAAAATGTTCCCTGGGCCTTGTGGGGCTGGGGTGGGTCGTGTAAATAACGTTTAAGGCTGAGCATTCCCCAGTTAGCTTATTCTCTGCATTCTAACCAGTTGTGAGTCTCTGTGTTAGTAACAACCCATGACAAAAAAAAAAAAAAAAAAAAAAAAAAAAAATATGCTCTCTGATGAGGCCTGAGGATTTTACTTATCTCTGGACATGAGGATCTGTCACACCCAGCCTGTTATGCACCACGAGAAAGAAGAGAGACAACACTTACGGGTTCCAAAGATTTTAATAATTCGCCACATAAGCAGGTCACTGATCAATCAGGGCTGCAGGACAAGGACTCGGGAGCCTTGTTTCTCCTGACAGCCCTGCACAGGGGCAGAAGTGGGGTTTATGAGCATAAAATTCACCAACATTTGTTGCCAAGTTACAGTTACAATTTTCACCCATCAGAAATCAAAGATTAGGGGACTGCCTTGTGAGTTCCATCATTGTTAACTGACATATGATGCAAGCCTTTCATTCCAACCAATCAGATTCTTTTGTTCCTTCTGTTGTTAGGGACAGCCATGATGTTTCTAGAGACTTAAGATGCATAACGACTATTCTATGGCTTAGAGAGGAGGGTGGTCAGCTATTGAAAAGTTCTCAGCTCCCTCAGGGCTTGGGAACCTGAGCTTTATTTCACCCTACAGGTAAAATGGAGTCTGAAGTCAAAATGGCAGTACTCAGGCCAAGGTGCTTTTGCCTGCTCCCTTCAGATAAATGTGTTGAGTCATGCCTGATGACCAGAGTTTGATTGCTGGGACAAAAAAAAAAGAATGGACTCCTGCAAGCTGTCCCCTAACCCCCACTCACATGCCTCCCTCCTAAGAATAAATCATTGTTTTCTTTTTTTTTTTCTTTTCTTTCTTTTATTTTTGACAGGGTTTCTCTGTGTAACTGCCCTGGATGTCCTGGAACTTGCTCTGTAGACTAGACTGGCCTCAAACTCAAAGATCTGCCTGCCTCTGCTTCTCAAGTGCTGAGTTCAAAAGGCGTGTGATACGCAACCCCCCTACCCCCAGCTGTAATTTTTTTTTAAGTTTAAAAGGTAAGCATTTAGAAAGTAGTTTAATGCTATGTCTATTTAGCAAAATAACAGTAGTCAGTTTTCCCCTAAGGTTTATGACCTCCCCAGCCATGGGTCTCTGGCCTAGTTTACAGTACTAGGCCTAAGTTCCGTCCTGTGGACAGAGCCTTAAATCCAATCAAAAAGTGGTTGGTTACCCACATAATGTCACTATCGTATCAAAGGACATATCTTGCCAGTCTGGACATTGTTTTAACTCTCAGGATTGACTGTTGGATGAGACTGTTGTTTTCCAACTTCAGCAACCTACATAGTACCTCCCAGCACTTCGAAAGCTAGCCAGCAGGGAGGAGCTACCTGATTGGCACCAGCTTGATGCCTCCATGTCCTGTGTCCAAAGTGTGTGGTGTTTTCACTACCACGTTCTGGAAGTCAACCAAGAGTGATGACAATAGCCTGTTTGGTTTTGAGCATCTCTGGGCCCCCTTGACCAACAGAGTTTACCTCGCTTAGCCCTGTGTATTTCTTATACCACAAGAGGACACAGCTCCCCCTCTGGAGAACGAGGTAGCAAGGTGCCATCTTGGAAGTGGAGACTGGCCTCTCACCAAGTGCTGCACCTGCTGGTGCCTTGCTCATGGACTCCGAGCCATCAGCACTGTAAGATATACATTTATATTCTTTTAAAAAACATTTATTTTTACGTGTATGAGTGTTTTGCCCGCATCTATGTATGTGTACTACATGCATGCCTGGTGCCCACAGAAGTTAGGAAAGGGTATTGGATTCCCTGGAACTGGAGTTACAGATGGTTGCCAGCCACTGTCTTAGTCATTGTTCCGTTGCTGTGAAGAGACACCATGACAAAGCAACTCTTATAAAAGAAAGCATTTAATCGGGGGCTTGCTTATAGCTTCAAAGGGTTAGTCCATTATCATCATGGCAGGGAGAGTGATGGTATGCAGGAAGGCCTACCCATGTTCGATTCTGGAGCAGTAACTGAGAGATTTATGTCCTGATGAACAGGCAGCAAGGAGAGAGAGGGAGGGAGGGAGGGAGGGAGGGAGAGAGAGAGAGAGAGAGAGAGAGAGAGAGAGAGAGAGAGAGAGAGAGAGAGAGAGAATAGGCCTGGTGTGGGCTTTTTGAAACCTCAAAGCCCCACTCCCCAGCAACACACCTCCTCCAAGGCCACACCTCCTAATCCTTCCCAAACAGTGTTTCAAATGAGGACTGAGCATGCAAATATTACATGAGCCTATAGGGGGCCGATTTCTCATTCAAACCGCCACAACCATCATGTGTGTTCCGGGAATCAAACCAGGTATTTCTTCTGTAAGAGCAACAAGTGCTTTTAACCAA